ATTTAGAAGGGATATAAATTTATATTAGAATAGATGGTATTCAGCTAGCAGTGATATCCAGATGATAAGTACCAAATAAGCCGAACAGTGAACCATGTATTCCATTTCTATTCATATTTCACTTATTCTATGTAAACTTATGATTAAATGGATATACCGAGGTAATCTGCACAGAACACACATATACACATTAAGATTAATTGCAATTCACTTGAAAATACTAAGAATAGAATAATTTGAACCGTTACATATTAAATTAATATATAGTATAGACATTTAATTGACTTATACCATATTAAAGGATATATTACAATCGTTGAGATCATGAGTCAATTGAAGCAAAATCACCATGGAAAACCTGAAAGCACTGGACGGACGTTTTGTCCTACTGTAAAACTCCTCAACAATGCACATCCACGATCCCGCCTCGCAACATTCCAACCCAGGATCTATTGGTCTCGCGCGTGAACGATTAATACCTAGACCACTGATCCGGTCTTCATCCAACAATGTTAATCTCTAACTTCAACTAATCCACAAAATTGAGCAACACATCCAACATTGTCTTCAATGGTTAAGCATTCGCTCGTGGGATCGATATTTCCTAGGTTCGAATCTTGCGAGGCGAGATCGTGGATGCACACTGTTGGATAGTCTGATCATAGAACGAAACAGTCGTCCAGCGCTTCCACATTTTCCATGATAGTCTAATCTCAACTATTCAAATTACTATATAATATCCACAAAACCCCTATTGATATTAAAGGATATATATTTACTATAAATAAAATATTTCCCTAGTCTGTAATCTTATACATAAGACAAAGTTACAATATAAACATTGTTCATGTAAACAAAATATAATAATAAATAAGAGATTATTATTATTATTATTATTATTATAATCCCTATGAATGTGAACCACACCTTTATCACTAATAATAAGATTTATAGGTATATGAAAAATAATGATTCCATTTCTATTCTATCTACTTATATTAAGATATTGAAATGACTATCTAATCTAGTTACGTTTTTCTTTTTATGTATCTTTTTATTTATTTATTTTGTTTCCTGTAAACAATAATTAAACTCAACCTCTTGATCAGATTTTCTTTTTTTTTCTATGTTTTTTTCTCTTTTTTTTCTTTCTTCTTTTTTTGAATGAATCGATTAACATAAGACAGTAATAAAAAATTTATGTCCATTTTGGAATTAATTCGATCAACGAATTTAATCTATTGGTTCAACAAAAAAAAAGAAACACTTAATTTTTCTTTTAGGTAAACATTGTTCGTTTGTTTACATTATAGACAAATAGAAAGTGAATATTTTGAAGAAGTTCCTATTGAATGAATTACAATTAATATATATATATTTCGGTGATTAAATATGATTAGAAACTTTAGAGATGTAAAATGGTTATTTCTTATGTAAAACCAAATCTTTTTTATCATGATCTCAATTTAATTCAAATGAGTTAATTAATTAGTTATAAAGAAGGGAAATATTTGTAGATAAGTTAAAAAAGAAGAGTTTTGAAGAGTTCCACAATAGGATGAAACGGTTGTTCAGCGCTTTCAAGTTTTCTATAGTGGTTTAACTTCAATTGACTCATGATCCCAACTATTAAAATTATTATAATATCCATAAAATAAACCCTTTTGATATTAATCAGCATATGCACATTAGTGACTGGCTTCATGACGTATATCTGTGGTGGTCGGTATTCAATATAATGCTTAAACTTCGTATACAGTTCGTCTTGTTAACCGTTCTATATAACGCCCCAACGGTATATTGATCAGAAAACAGATACGAAGCGTTGATTACGTTTATTGCGAGACCACACACATATATCCAAATGTACAGACGCGTTAAACAAGCATAGAAGAGTTGTGCCGAAAGGCAAGCAAGCGAGCGAGAGCAAGAGCAAGAGCGAGACGAAAGTGTGTGTGTGTTGAATATGAGTAACATGGACATATATATACCATGCAAAATGAATGAGTAATCGAATCAAATAAGCAGTTAGTAGTAAGACTAGCAGAGTGAATAAATGCGTAGGCAGTAAGCCATATCCAAGCATACGTATTTCATACAAGCACAAAATAACAATAACGGTACAATAAATTGTTATAGTGCGGATGACTTAGTCCGCTAAATAAGTTAGCAAAAGGGCTTAACTGAGTTAAATTATAATAGACTCAATTGCACGTGAGTCACTATATATGCAGGAGTTCTAGTGAAAAGCAGTGACCAGTGGAGTCCAACCGGGTCAGTTGTGAGATATTAACTCACTGAGGAAAATGGTGGATGTGTTTCTCAATTTTGTGGATTAGTTGAAGTTAGAGATTAACACTGTTGGATGAAGACGGGATCAGTGGTCTAGGTATTAATCGTTCACGCGCGAGACCAATAGATCCTGGGTTGGAATCTTGCGAGGCGGGATCGTGGATGCGCATTGTTGAGGAGTTCTACAGTAGGACGAAACGTCCGTCCAGTGCTTTCAGGTTTTCCATGGTGATTTTGCTTCAATTGACTTAGGATCTCAACTATTAAAATTTTCCAGAAGGTTTTGTGAAGAATTTAGCAATTTAGCAATTGAATTCTATTAGTCAATTAAACTAGATCAACATGAAAAACCTAGAAGCATGAGACTGTCGTTTCGTCCTAGTAAGGAAACTCCTCAGCAGCTCTAATTGACTCATGAAATCAGCTATTTTTTAAAAATTAGTTCTATAAAAAATTTTAATGATCACCTATTCAGTAATAACACTTTAAACGTTGGTCAATTTTTCTAAGGTTTATTTTTATATCTTATAGTATGAGTATTCGACCACAGTAACTGAGTTATAATGCAGTGGTATTAGTTCAAGATAAATATATGATAGAAATTAATTTACAGTTGATTGATTACTGATTATTAACCAGTGTCATGTGTCTCAATTCCTTCTTATTAATGACAAAACTCATGGTCAACTTGCAATGTGGAAACAAATCTATGTAACTTTATATCACGGGTACTATGTTGATTGTAAGCTGATACTTTGAAAAAGCATCAACTCCTTGAAGATTAAAAGCCATGCCAAATAGCATGGAAAGTAAGTCAAGCAGGGTATCCTGTAGACTACTTTCAATCACCACCTTATGTATGATAAAGTTAACTTATTCAAGTCATAAATCTATCCAGGTTAGACCATCATTGAAAATCTGGAAGCACTGAACGACCGTTCCATCCTATTCGGTACTCCTCATCAGTACGTATTCAATATTCTTCACGTTGTAAACCGACCTAGAATCTTCGATTCTGTGCGCGAAACACTATCCCATAGACCACTGAGCCAGTTTAACTTAGATTGGTTCATGGTTTCAATGAAATGCAATAATCTTTACAACCTCATACTGAAAAGTGATGTACACAAATACACCCAAACATTTTCTTGAAAATAAGAAATCTTCGTGATTTATTTTATTCAATCGAAATAAATATTCACATATAGGTTTCAATTAAAATACACTATAATCAGAAAGGGGTTTTATGGATATCATGGTAATTTAATAGTTGAATTCATGAGTCAATTAAGGCTAGACCATTACTGAAAACCTGAAAGCACTGGACAGCCATTTCGTACTAGTATGGGGCTGATCAACAGTACTCATTCATGATAAATTAATTGGTTGATTATTTGAGTTTCCCATCTATTTTACAATCAGCTCATTATAATTCTGATAAATAAACTTTAAAACAAGAACAATCATAATCACATGTTCGGTACTGATTTTATATCTAACTATAAAACTTTCATTTTAATGCATACTTTTGATAAAAATCTGATCCAAAGCAATTCTTTTCCATGATCTATAAGTTTGATTGCTAATATTAAGCATATTTCAAAAGTTTCATACTAAAATTAAATATGTCAAAACTTTGGTATGTACTATTGTTAGTCTTCAGTTAGATATAATCTAAATATTTGCAGAAGAGAATAAGATCTGTTGAGTAAAATGAAAGATTTTGATCAGTATATCATTGAAAGTCAAGAGAGAATGATATGGAGTAAAGCAACTAAGATCAGATAGTTCATTGATCTTTATAGAGAGAGACATTATAAATGTAAAATACTTATGAATTGGAACTTCTAAATTGTAGGATTTAAGTTCGAATACATAGTATTAAATAATAATGATGTTAAGTAAATTAGTTAAATATACAATCGGATAAACTTTAATTGTCCTTTAGTTTTTTAGAAAGTTCTATAGTAGCTTTGATAATAATATGTTAGTTGTTGCATGGAAACAATCATTTATTTCACAATTTATTCAAAAGTATGACAATAGGAAGATACAAGTAAAACAAGTAAATTTCAACTTCACCCCATTGCACAAGCTAATGGCTGTCAGAACTCAGTAGCTATGTGGATAACGTGATGGCGTTTGGAGCTAACAGTATTGGGTTCGAGTCCCGGAGTGAACATCAACTCTGAGATGCAGGCACATCCAGCTGACGAGTCCCAAATAAGAAGAAACGCGCGTCAAACTGGATTCCACTTCTATCCACTATCCATCTTTGCTTGAAATGCTTGTGACTTAAGGCTATATCGAGGCAATCCGTATAGGATGCACATATAATAACATGAGACTGGTCGATTGCAGTTCTAAATAACCATGGGAAGATACAAGTAAAACAACACCAAGTGAATTTATGCGAAAGTAGTTGCTAATTTAATGAGTTACATTAAGATTCATCAATGTGAAGCACAAACATTGTAACAAATAGGCACAGTTTTATTGATAATTTTCAGTTTTGAAACGTAGGTTCATTTTTCTAAGGTACTTAACAGATATATGCAATATTTTATTACTTCTGTTAACTGCTAAACTTCATTTAATGTAAACATGAAAATTTTATACAAAAACTCTTTTTTTTCAAAACCCACAAGATACATTAAGATTCAATTGTGACATTTAACATGATACTTATTATATTTGTGTAAGCTTACCTGCATTAATGCTGCGATATCTTCTCTAGCAGTAAGTAATTCTTCTAAATTTACTGTACCGAGTACATTAAGTAAAGTGGTTTGTCCCAAAACTCTGGTTGCTCGATTAGCGTCTTCAACATTAACTACAGCACGTACAGGGTCTCTTACACGATAATATACAACTGCATTAACTACAACTGTGACAGAATCCTTTGTAAGTACTTCTTGTGTAGGTACATCAAATGTAAAAGTACGTAAATCCAAAACACGGTAACGATCCAAACAGGGAAGAACAAATATTAATCCTGGACCTTTAGCAGTTGCAGAAACCAGTCTTCCAAGGCGAAATAGTACTGCTCGTTCATAGTGTGTTACAACCTATAGTAAAAAGGTAAAAAATCAGTAATATTAACTAATAAACTCAATGGAATACTTATGCAACTAAAAAAATTGTAAAATTAAATTATGTTTCATAGTTGGATGAAAGCATATAAATTGCTTTCAGTTGATATTAATTAATAATAAATATTTAAGTTGAAATGTTGAATTTACAGGAAGGATCTCAATCGTCTGAAGTCTAGTAGGCATTATAGTATATTTATTTATATATTTGAACACATAAATATTGGTACAAGGGGCTACTAGATATATATGCGCCACACAATAACAGTGAGAATGGGAAGAGAAAAGGAATGTAAGGTATGTATAAGAGAGAAGAAAAAACAACAATATCGATCACAGATTAGTGTGTGGTAGGGTAATAATAATAATAATGGGGTAAACGGAAAGGTACAACTAGAAGAATTCTTTCAGTTAAGGAAGATACAACCACTTTTTATGAAGAAAGTAAAATAAGGTTACAGCAGGATCGCCACTGGCTTCTATTCTGAGCCATATCTGATAACGTCTCTAGCCACTGTGTCGTACCATCTCTCGGACCCCAGCCAGGGAGTCGTGAAGGACCAACACAGGCCAGCCCTTCGCAGCTTTCTTTCATACCACAACACCATGTCATACACTGACCACCTCTCCACTTTTTCCAACCAGTCCCAGAGTCGGCAAATAATGCACGACGTGGAATTCTCTGGGACGACATTCGTAGAACATGTCCAAGCCACCGAATTCGATGTTTCAAGGTGGTGACACGAATTGGATCGTAGTATATAAAAGAACAGTTGGGAAGATCATTTTCTATTAGTATTAACACAAAATATAAATTTAGTCTCACTTTGTAACTGAATATTATCCGTCATTAAAATATTGTTCTACTTTGTAAATCCATTATATCTAGACTACGTAAAATATTCTATAAACAATCTTTACTGGGATAATATGTTAATCATTTTTACCCTGAATATAAGGGAATTGTGGAGATAATAAAACTTTAGAGGTTTGAATGCTTGAAAGATCTTAGCTAGACAATTAATGAAAACCTGAAAGCACTCAATGACGGTTTCATCGTACCACTGAACTCCTTAACAGCGCTCATCCGTAACCCTACATCTGATGTTGAATCCAGGACCTTTGGCTTGGTGTATTAATGTTTAACGTCTATACTGTTGAGTCGACCTCGAGTGTTGTACACGTATAAATTAAATTCAAGATATTGATAAATCCTCAGCTATTGTTTGTAAGAGATGACTGTTTCAGATGCAACACAAAATGAACTCTGTTGATCGCAGCTTCTCAGGTTTTCAATAATGATCTGAGATCAACCGAGGATATATATTACTTATATCTATCGACATCAGTAGTGCGCAGTACATTATCATCAGAACAGCAACTCAGATTTTTTTTAATGTATGGGATTCCAATAAATGAGTTTCATAACATAAATTGTATTTCTAAAATGATTTTCAAACTCATTGAAAGGAATTTTACTATTCTCTTGATGGGGTATTCTAGTCATGATAAAATCTAATGAGTTTAGAGTGTTTTTTACTTAACTTCTAGAAGAACTAGGCAGAAGTTAAAAATTTTATTTGATTGAATATAATTTTTTTATATAATGATTTGAAAATGTATAAATGTCAGGACGGCAAACTTGGGATTCTTCATCCAACATTTATAACCTGAAAGAGTAGGAAGGCCGTTTCGTTCTAGTATGGAACTCTCCATCAATGAGCACCCACGATTCCATACATCGGACTCGGACATAGGACCTTCATTTTCGCGCGCGAACGCTTAACCTCTAGATCACTGAGTTGGCATCTTAAGGTTTTAACGTCTAACTTTAAATAATCCGCGGAATTACGCGATCATCTTTTATTAGGCCTACGCGCACGAGACCAAAGGTCTGGGTTCGAGTCCCGCGTGAGGATTGTAGGTGCTCACCGCTGATGAGTCCTATTTTAAGACGAAACGGCCGTCCACTGCTTCCAGGTTATGAATGGTGATCTAAAATTGATCGATTCATAATCTCAACAACATTTCTCAAAAGTTGTGATGAAAAATTTGTTTAATGTGGATATATGATTCTACAGTTAACTTCGTTAGTAAAACCTTTTTATAAGCAAACTTCATCATGTATACTAATCTTTCTTACTTAAGATATGAATGTTTATTGATCTCAGAATTGTTTGATAACCAGAATCTGTCTAGACCGATTGATTTTTTACGCCATGATTTTGGCATTAATTCTTGTTTTCGGTCTTGCGTTATTGTTCAGAGTCGGTAGTTTAGCCACTTCGTTACACTGATCCTAATGAATTTAACATTATTTAGGAGGTTGGTATGTCTTTACTTTTAATGGATGTGCTTTTTCCAAGAATAGTGTGACTGTTGGAACTAATGGGCATCATGTCACAGAGAAGTCAACTGGTTAGTTGTAACAAAAATATTTAAAAATTAGGAGAGAGCGAAATAAAGGGAGAGTATGGATACCGGGCAAATAAACAAATTAATTTAATCAATTGATTAATCAAGCAAATAAGTAACTGATGGATGTACTGTAACAAAAAATAGACTGAGATTGTAAGACATAAAGTATGATAGATGAAGTTACTGATAATGACAACAATATTAATGGTTAAGATTAAGTACGATAGAACCATTGAATGCATATCGACTTAGTCAGTTGTTATTTACAATTTAATAAAAACGGTCACAGATCATAAATACATTCATCATCGTCAAGATTTGGACAAAACTTCTAGGTTTTCCATGATGGTCTAGCTTTAGTTGGCTCATGAATTGAACTAATAAATTACCAAAATCTCCACAAAACCCCCTTCTGATATATGATTTTCATTAGGTATACATTCCTGAAATAGGTTTTTTCTCCCCCGTTATTTTATTGTTTATTGTTAAATACTATTATTATTACTTTTCTATCAAATAGGATTTTACACTTGGAATAAATGTATTATCTATAAGTGTTACATAATTAATTATCATATCAATATAATCAATCAGTGTTTATTAACTTAACCGTTACATTTGTAGTGAACGAGAACACAAGTAGGGATAATCGAATGTATTTGAATACATAATTACAGAACAGTCAGTAAAATCTGAGAACCATATAGTAAATTTTTCAAATGCCCTGGTATGGCCCAGAGTGGGGTGGGCCCACCCTCCCTCTCGAAATGCTCTCACATGACCACGCGTATACAGCCTCGGCCAGGGAAGTCCTACTCACTGCCTTCTCGTGGCGGGGGTGTTGTTTACGAAGTTGAGAGGACGAAAAGCGAATGTCCAACGCTTTAACCGGATCCCAAACCAATGGTGCACATGGTCTCCAGTATCCTGGAGGAACAAATGGCGTATGAACCAATCGTTGGTCACTAGCTTCCATGGAACTGCATCTTCTCACGATGCTCCATTGACTTGTGGGTCAGACCTTTAGGTCAAAAACTCGGGGTGTGGCCCCTTAAGAAAACCACCTGCTTCGGTCTGGGCACCCGGGCAGTATCACAGCCCTCATACAAAGTGTGGCGCATATGTATTCGGTGCCCCTTTGTACCAATATTTATGTGTTCAAATAAAAATAAAATAAAATAAATATATTAAATAACTTTACAAATCATCGTACGGCTTTATTCAGTAAAATTATTTTCCATTAATTTTCGATACTATTTTCCATATGAATAAAAAACTAATAAGAACTTTCAATGTAGTTAGTCAAAACACAATCCAAGTCTTTGTGTTTATAAGAAATTGATGACGCCTTTATCGCTCTCTTGGCCTTAAAACATGATTTTATTTATTATTATTTTCCATACTCTTCCTCCGCTTTTTTTCACCCCCTATCACCCTTTTCTTTCCTGAACACTTTTTATTACGTAATCTTATATTTTTTAATGAATGTTATTTCAGTGTCTATATTTTTCAATTCATTGACCTGATTCCCACTGTGAAACATAGATACAAGCCTTTATTATCCTTATCACAATCAGTACACCTGTCATCACACTACCAATTTGTACTTTTCACTTATTTATGTAATCCACTCCACTATTATCATTGATTCATAAACTGCCTTAATTAGTTTAGTAATTTCGTATATGCATATAAATATTACCGTATATAACAGTAAAGCTTGATGTGAATCGTTTCGAAAACAACATTTTAATCGTTTAAAGATTCCCGTCATATTAAAAGACTAGTATTTGAACGAAGAATATTCTTTTCGATAAATTCTCTTCAGGTTCTACAATTCTATATCCAAATTAATAATCCGAAAAATGGCCAGGTTAAGGGCAAAGCACATCGTTTAAAGCATGTGAGAGAGAAATAATAGTGCAATTACAATTCGATCAAATGAGTAAAACGTAATACGGAGGGATGTATGCGAATTGAATGAATCATGTATAGGGAAGATTAATGATGTTTAACCAATAATAATAATAATAATAATAATAATAATAATAATAATAATAATAATAATAATAATAATAATGATAATAATAATAATAATAAAGACAAAGATTTATGAATAAAGATAACAGAGACAATCACAATTGACTACGAAAAGTCATTGTCGAATTAGGTCATTCAGTAGTTAAGATTACGATTGATTAATTGGCCTGGATGTTGGCCAGGGGGGGAGGAGTGGTTGAATATATTTCTTCTGTACGCATAGCTCTGGTTTCTTCATTTGGATGGCTACTGCTTCAGCCGTTTGAAGGACTTTCAGTCTGACCAGTTTTGGCAAAAAATTACTGACCTTATAAATAATTGAAAAAGATTGGTTTATACTAGCACTATGACCAGTTTGTACTAAATGGGCCAATACTGAGCTATTTACTTTCTTCATCAAACCTTTGTTTAGTCACGCTGGAAGGTGTTCACGAGCACGAAAATGTAAATTCCTACGACTTCGACCAATATAACTCGCTCCACAGGAGCAGTCGAACTGATAAATACAAAACGAGGTG